CCAAACTCAAAATTTTGCGAGATTGACTTCAGATTCGGATTTTCCGACCTGGATTATCTGCGGTTGAGCCTTATAAAAAAATGTTATTTTCTTAAAAAAGCCTTCCTTTTACGAAAAAAATCAAGTTCAAAATTTTCAAAAACTAATTGCAGATTCGGATTTCTGGACCCCAATTACCTTTGGTTGAGCCTCACACACACCGATCCCCCCATCCATAGCCATCACTGAGCTCAATCTAGACTTGATTCATGGAACTCGAACTTTTGAAGTTTGAGCTCGATCGAGTTCGAACTTTTGAGGTTTGAGCTCGACCGAGTTCGAGTTCTGGGAGTTTGAGCTCGATCGAGTTCGAGCTTTTGGAGTTTGAGCTCGATCGAGTCCGAGTATCTGTTTTCGAGTTCGAGCTCAATCAAGTTTCCAAGTTCGAGTTCAAATCGAGCTCAATCTCATAAAGCTCGGTATCAAAACTTGAAGTTGAGTTCGGGTTTGGTACATGTCTAAATATTTCCAATATCTTCTATACCTCCTTATACCTTCTATACCTCCTATACCTTCTCTATATCCATTAACAGAAAATGAAACAAGCTTTCGGAAATTCAAATAAGGAATTATACGCTGATTTAACTTTACAAGGTATTGAAGCTATTTCAAAAGTTTATACGGTTAATCCAAAACTTGATAAATCAAAAACAAGAATTCAAATTAATGATAATGGTGAAATTGAAACAATTGATGATTGGATGTTAGAAACTGATGGAACTTCATTAAAAAAGTTTCAGCTACTAAAGACATTGATTTAAGAAGAACTTATACAAATGATGTGGTAGAAATATTTGATGTATTTAGTATTGACGCTGTACGAAAAGCTATTGAACGTGAAATGAATCATGTTATTTCATTTGATGGTTCTTATGTTAATTATCGTCATTTAGCTCTTCTTTATGATATTATGACAACTAAAAGACATTTAATGGATATAACAAGACATGGAATTAATGGGTTTAGGACAGTTGCTCGCAGGACAATTGCTCGTCGGACAGTTGCGCGCGGACACTTGCTCGCTAGGACAGTTGCTCGCTAGGACATTTGCTCACTAGGACATTTGCTCGTGTGGACATTTGCTCGAAAGGACACTTGCTCGTTAGGACACTTGCTCGCAAAAAAATGCTCCGAAGTGAAGATATGAATAAGACAAAGATATTCTTTATTAATAACAATAGTACATATATAAGAAAACAAAAAAGTACTCTACATAGATAATAAACGTCCAATATGTTTTAATTGATCTTGAATATCTGAATGTGGATTTTGAACTAAATTATATAATCGTTTGTTCAATGATTCATTTTGTCGCTTTGGTGGTTGACGACCAGACATGGCATTAATAATATCCGAATGTATATTATTCTCTTCTTTGATCAATTTATCCATAAAACTCCATAAATTTGGATGAGTACACTGGAATGCACAGTTCAATTTTCTATGCCAGGCTTCAATATTATTATTCGTCCGATGCATATTATTCTTCACACGCGCTGCCATATTCCAAAAATGAATAGGAAATGTTGCTGTGCGTCTTGAGCGTCCACGAAGTCGACCTATATAATTGTCTTCCATATAATCGAGAACTGATTGATATTCATCACCAAGATTCATACATAAAGATTCGAAACCATGAATTACTTGATTGGGTTCAACAAATGATAAAGCTAATATCTTGTGAATATTATCTGCAAATGTGAGATCTGTTTCATAGTTTTTCTTTAAACCATTATTCTAAACACAAAGATGTAAAAAAATACATTTAGTGTTAGTTATTTAGAGTAAGCTTACTTGTAAGAATCGTAGGACGCTCTGACTTAGATGAAAAAAACATCCACTAAGTTCAATTGTAGAAAAACGACCATTAATCATGTTCATTGCTGCTTTTTCGAAATCCATCATCATTCGTTGAGGAGACCATCCTGGAACTAATTGCATTATATTATCCATCATTTTTTCATAGATATGACCACTTTTCCCAGGTAAAAGAACAAATAATACTGGTAATACGTGGTCACGGTAAAGAGCATGGATCACAAAAAGTTGAAAGAAAATCTCTGGAACAATCTTGAAGGTTCCATCAATGAAGAAATCCTGCAAAGAGAAAAAGTTGAATAATTTATAGGTATGTTGCGAAAACTTACCGTGGCATTTTCCATAATATTTCGTTGTTCATCAGTGAAAAAAATTAATATTCGATCCGAAGTTGGACCAGTATCTTTGCGAAGAAATATTGTATCACGTGTTGTTCGATAATATTTATCTGGAATAATTGGAAAATTAATGTTTGATGGTATTGGTGCAGTACTGGTTTCTTGTCGCCAACGACGAACATTTCGTTTTAAATTATTATTACTTGTTAATTGAACACGCACTTCATCTTGAACTCCAATATTTGTTTGTGTTAAAATATTGTGTGGATTAGTTTGATTTTTTAAAGATTCTTGTCGTAATCGATCATGATATACTCGAATTAAACCAGAACGTGGATCACCAATGTGATTTTCATGATCACCAACGGTTTTAATAAATATGTTGTTTAAATCAGTATGCAATCGCCCATGACATTTAAATTTTTTGGAATATTCGCATTTCCATAATATTTTCTTGTCGGTTCGTCGATCAATTATATAAGAATACCCATTATGAATAAGTAGAGGAGCGTTTTTCGAGGTTGTTGAAAGAGTAACTGACATGACTGTTTTTTAAGTGTACTCTTGTGCAATTGACACTGCTTTTATATGAATATAATGATTGAATATGACTAATCATTATAACAATAATGATCATCAATCGTCTATACATACAATTTAATTAATTATAGCCCTTTGGTTCCGAATTCTATCAATTACAATTAAACGATTATCACATCCACGATCAAACGTCATAACGAGCAAGTGTCCTAACGAGCAAGTGTCCTTTCGAGCAAATGTCCACACGAGCAAATGTCCTAGTGAGCAAATGTCCTAGCGAGCAACTGTCCTAGCGAGCAAGTGTCCGCGCGCAACTGTCCGACGAGCAATTGTCCTGCGAGCAACTGACCGTTTCCCGGAATTAATAGACAAGATGTTGGACCTACAATGAGATGTTCTTTTGAAGAAAGTGTTGATGTTTTAATGGAAGCAGCGGCACATGCAGAATTTGATTCATTAAAAGGAGTTTCGGAAAATATTTTATTAGGACAATTAACTAAAATTGCTACTGTATCATTTGATTTATTATTAGATGTTGAAAAATGTTCATCAACAAAATAATTACAAATGAATTTTCCTCAAGATACATTTATGAGTGAACAAGCAAGAAAAGAATTTGATCAGCATCATTCAAATTTTCAAACGCCATGGATAAATCCATATTCAACACCATCACAACAAATGACACCACTTACAACATCTGGAGCTTCTTCACCAAGTTCTTCAGATACAACTGGTTTTTCACCAGCTCATTTATCATCACCATCTCATATGTCACCATCACCTTATCATCAAATACCAGCACCATCCAATTATTATCCACAATCAACAAGAAATTATTCATCAACATCACCTACTTATTCACCAAATTCTCCAAGCTATTCTCCAATATCACCAAGATATCCATCAAGTGATCCAATTAATATTTATGGATCAAAATGACCTCATGACAAGTTTGTTTTTCTTCTTTAGCTTTTTTAATCAATATTTATTTGCTAATATAGCCCAACAAGTCCAAATTATTCAACAGCTGGAGGAAGACAAGATTCAACATCACCATAGTATGCTCCAGCAAGTCCAGAATGTTCTCCATCATCACTCGGTTTTTTCCCATCAAGTCCACGTAAGAAAAGAAAATCTTTTTTGTTTTAAACTAAATATTTGATAAAAAGTTATTCCCCATCATCACCCGGTTATTCAATATATGGACCACCACCTAAATATTCTCCTCAAAGTCCATCTTATTTCTCCATCAAGTCCATCATACAGTAATGGCATTTTCATATTATTTATTTTAATCGATTAAATCTTTATTTTTATTTAGCTCGAACAAGTCCATCATACAGTATGGTACTTTTTTTTATTTAAAATCTATCATTTTCGTATTTATTTATTTAGTTCCAACATCACCGAGCTACAGTTTGTTGAGAAGAATTTTTTTAATTGTTTGAAAATATTTTCTTTATAAAAAGGTCCAACATATGCACCTCAATCACCAACATCATCAACAATCTCATCATCAATGTCATCTCCACATACAATTCATGATGATGATTTAAATGATAATGGAAATTTAATGGATTAACTTTTTGTAAATTGTTTCAAAGCAAAATCATCATTGACATTTTTTAATCAGAGACACACTTTCTTCTTATTTATTCATAGAAAACAAACAAAAAAAACCCATCGCTGATGATTTTCATTTGTAAAAAGGTCTTTTTTTCGAAACTATTCAATTTGCAATAAATTTATTTCACTAAGAAACCGATTTTTCTGTGATTAATTATAATGAAATGTCAACATCTGGTTATTTATTGATGAGGTCAACACTAAGACAAAAATGAATATTTAAACTATCATCAAGACGAAAAATCACAACACGACCGTCATCAAGACAGAAAAGATCATCAAGGTTAAGAAGAAATAAATGCGGAAACTTCGGATTTAAATCCGAGAGTTATGTGTACTTCAAAAAGTGAATTAGACAGATAAGTCATCCTGGAATGTCTTGACATCAAAATTACACTGGGAAAACTTTCCTATAAACTGTTGTTTTCTATTGGCTATTGTCCAACCAATAGGGCTTGGGAGCGAATATAGCTCAGATTTGTACTCTTCACCTTGATTTACCCTAAGAAAGTCGTTTTTCCTATAACTTGATTTCTATTGGTTACTGGTCAACCAATGAGATTTCGAGGCGAATGGAACACAGATTCAAGTTCTCCACCCTAGAAAACCTCAAACTATCATCTCTGTGATCGGAAGATAGAGCTCTAATTGTAGATCACATAGAGCGTGGACGAAAACAGAACCGAGTTCCGTTTAATTATCTTTGCAATAGGTGAGTTAGCTTCCTTGTTTCCTTATGTTTTATATACCATTTTGTAGCTCGTGAAATTCTCTATCGAATGGTATATAATAGTTGGGGTTTTAATTGACCATGATAGGAAAAGTTTTTAAGGGAAACAGAGAAGGGTCGATTTTCTCATAGGGAAGCATAGGGAAAAAAATCAGTATTTTTGCAATAACTCAGGAAGAGCTCGTCCAATCAGGCTCATCTTCGAACTCGACTGAGACATTGATGAGACTGAACTGTGTAGAAAATTTCATCACGATCTGACTCTCCTTTCGAAAGTTATCGTGTATACGGACGGACGGACGGACGGACACACTGACCGATTTTAGTAGTGTACTCACTTTTTGAGTACACAAAAAAAGATGAAAAAAAAGTGAGGAACACAAAAAAGAAAAATATCATCATAAAGACCAAAGTGACGAATAAGACCATCAATGAGTCAAGATGCCATCAGCACAATGACAAACTAGGCTAAAAAAACGTGATAGTTTATTGGTTTTTTAAATGAGTATAGAACTCACGCCTTATATTCAGATGAGTCAAGATAGAATTTTTCACTGGATCGACCTAAAAGGAGAAAGACGTTACATATTTGATCTGTTTAATAAGAGTTAATCCTTACTTTTGCCAATAGATCCAACATATACTGTTCGGATCGTTGTAATTGTTGTTGATGATTGCCACCCCCAACACCAGCAACTGTCGATGCTACATCCTCGACATTGGTCTATAAAAGAAAGAAAATTATATTTAATTTTTGCCAATATATATTGTACTGACTATTCCACAAGTATAATATTGATTGATATCTTGCACCAATTTTAATATCATAGGCCAGGTGATGTAATTATGTTGAGGATATTTGATTTTTTGATGAGCCCGTAATACATCCAAATGTGTACGCAAGACGTTGATTACGGTTGTTGTATTGTTCGCCTAAAACAAAACGATCATATTATCTTAAAGCTAAGACCCTTTGAATATCGATATCAGTACGTCGATGATAGCCATTTCTTTATATATCGCTGACCTCTTCGATGAACTGATGCTAGTTAACAATGCTTTTCCTTCATACAACGATAATGAGAAGAAAAAGAAAAGCATTGTTCAATTATCATTGGCCCATCGAAGAGGTCAGCTCTATATAAAGAAATGGTTAAGAACGGAAAAAACTTTTTATACATACCATCTTTAATGTTTGTCGAATGTGTGATGATAATTATTTGTAAAGAAATATAGTATGGTCGTTGATTTATATAGGATAGAAGAAAATGAAAGAGACAACGAATTACTGATAGAGACGGCTATTTTATTTTCGTTCTTCAAGTTGTTATTTATTTTATTTTCTGATATATGACTATCCATTACACGTTTAGATATATCGAAGCACGAAATGTCCGTCAGTATTGATCACAATGATTCTCTCGTCTATGATTTACTACCATCGAGCATGCCTAGATTCATCGAAATCGATAGACTGATGTGAATACGAATGGTGAATACATCTATGAACAAAGAAAGATTCACGAATGATTACGATATATATTGTATGAATACCTGAACAGCATGACCTAGAAAAATGTCGATCTTTTCTCGTTCATTTCTAGGAGAAATCATTAAATAGAGTCGATCAATCAGTTTTCTGTTCATATCTTTGATATTTAATAATAATGGAAGAGAAAGAGAATGATAGAGAAAAAATGTCTTCACAATCGAAAATCAAATTTTGTTATATCATTTCTTAATTTATTCTTTCATCAATTATTATTATTATCTAACTTCTGATTCGATGTTTTTTTTTGAATAGAAATCATCGAATAATGCAAAAAAAAATTAGATAAATATATTGAATATTCCCATCGATACGTTTATTTTTAATAAAATTCTTGAAAACAGATTAAAAATAATGATTTTTTAAAATATTTTTTCTAGAATGTTCGATGAAATTATTGAGTTTTGAATAATCAAATAGGAATAGCTTCAATAATTGAATTGGGTGCCTGAATTGGATATAATTTTTTAAATTGAAATCCAGTTTTGTTCAATAATTGTTAGTATTGACGTTGTGTTCGTTCTCAAACGTTATTAAATAGAATAGCCATAGCCATATCAAATTCATGTGCTTGTCAATTTGCTTATTGTTCCATCTGGTAAAATAACATATTCAACAAATGAATATAGTCGTTGGTGATCAAAATAAAATTCAATAAAGAATCCTTTTTTTTTCGTTGTTGTTATTATTGATTTGGTCAAAGAAATTCAATTTGTCAGCTGAATAAAAATGAGAGAAACCTTTTCAATCTTTGTCATAAATAATCAAGTTTCATTATATTGAAAATCTATTCTTTATTGACCAAAAAACAAATCTTATATAATGCGTTTATCTCAATTAGTTGATATCATTTTTCTAATATATTCAACATTCAAATATTTATCTAAGATATATGGTTAACTTCTATATAGATAATTATTTTAAATATATATTTATCTAATTATATTTTCGTGAAAAAAATCATTGTTAATATATCGATTTGAAATGAGTTATTTTTTTTTGTTCAAATAAAATCAATATTTAAAACATATTATTATAGATATAATCATATATGGAGTTTTTTTTCATAATATTCTTCGATTATAAAAAGAAAAAGTTTCTATAGAAAGATAATATTAATCATCAATTATTTGTTTTTATTGAAAAAAACAAAAAAAAACGAAATTGACCCATGTCGAGGCGAACGGTCACAGAACGCGTTCGGAACGGACGAACACGTTGGTAATCTCAACTTTGGCCGAAACTTAAAATGTAGAAAAAAAAAATGTCGAAAGTTAAATGTCGAAAGTAACAAATGTCGAAAATAAAAATATCGACAATAAAAGTGTCGAAAGTAAAAATATCGACAGTAAAAATGTCGAAAGCAAAATATTGAAAAAGTTTAAAAATATAAAAGTAAAATATTCGAAGAACGGCTGTTTTGGGAGATGATCGAGAAAGATGTCATTATTGCATAATCCATATTGGATTATGTTCTATTAAATATATCATTGGTCAGTCAGACCGTCGGTCATTCAGTGCAATGAATATATAAGAAACAATAACGATCGATTGTTTATTATTTGAGAAATAAATAGAAGATGGAAGTTACTGGTGAACAGTCGCGGACCGTCGACAATGATATAAATTTCATTATCTCGAATAAAGGACAACCACTTTTAGTAATGAATCAATATGTATATAAATGTAATAAAAAAACTTCCATTAAAAAATATTGGACATGTATAGTTAAGAATTGCAACATATACGTTCATACTGATATAAATAACAATTATTTATTTGGTGGTAAAAGTGAACATGGTCATTCACCAAATCCAGAATTTATTGAAGTCAAAAAAACTCGTGAACAAATAAAACAACGTGTAATCAATGAACAAACACCTATTGGAAAAATCTATGACGAAGAGATGTCAAAAACTGTTATGAATTCGGTGGCAATAGCCATATTTCCAACAATAAATGAAATTTGTAAGTTGTTTTACAAGTAATAATTAATGAATGAATACCTGTATTTTTAGATCATAGTGCCGCTAAAAATCGACGTAAAGTGATACCACCAATACCAGATTCATTCACATTTGATATTCCTGAAGAATTCAAGTCAACTATTGAAAACAAAAGATTTTTATTTTTTGATGAATGTCGTATAAGACGTGAACGTTTGCTGCTTTTTGCAAGTGATGTTCAGCTGGATTTATTATTCAATTCTTCAACAATTTACATGGATGGCACTTATAAAAAAGCTCCAGATCATTTTACTCAGATATATATAATTCATGTAGTTCATTTCGATATCTGTAAGCAGGACTCTTATTATCCTTTTGAAATGGTACGTTTATTTTTTTTTAAGGTGTGCCATGCGTGTTTGGATTGTTGTTGAACAAAAAAGCATCAACATATAAAGTGATTTTTAATGAATTAAAAAATGCTGCTTTACAAAAAGGAAGTGTTTTTTCACCAAAAGTTATCATGACTGATTTCGAGCCTGGTGCGATTTCTGCAGTAAAAGATGAGGTTAGTATCACATACATTAATCGCAAAAATATAGCTTACTGTTCTACTTCGTTATCTTTCAGTTTCCAGCAGCCAAACATATTTGTTGTTATTTTCATATGTGTCAAGCTGTGTACAGGCGGATTCAACAACTTGGATTGCAACAACAATAGATGATTGATGATACATTACGTGCTTTATGTAGAAAGTTGATGGCTTTGCCATTAATGCCACATGATAAAATTGTATATGGGTTTGATGAAATACGTGAAGCAGCTGATTATTTACCCGGTAAACCAATGATTCAACTGTTGCAATATTTTGATAACAATTGGATGTCAGATATCAATCTTTGGAATGTATTTGGGTTGGATAGTAGAACCAACAATGTTTGTGAAGGTAATGTATATTTTTCATAACGTAAAACGACCAATTTACTCTTTTTAATTGCAGGATATCACAACCGAATGAATTCCCGTATTTATCGTCATCATCCAAATATTTGGGATTTAATCAATTTTATGAAAGCTGAAGAAAAACGTCTACAAAACATTAAACTTCAATGGTCTTCAGGTGCATCAAAACCAAAAAACAAACGAACAACAGCATTACAAAATCGAATAAACATGTTATATGATCGATATCGTGACTACCTCATTACAGCATCTGATCTCCTCAATGGTTTGTCTTTATTTGTGGCAAAAAAAGTATGATTATTCAATAAAAAAATTATTTAATGTCGATTATGCAGTATATCAAAACGTTTTTCTTGTATTTTATTCTTTCTTTTTAAATAATAAACATTTGATTCAAACTTAGCTGCTTGCTTTTTTAATTTTCCTAGCATGCAAATGTTGAGAAATTTTCACCTCAACTTTCCACGTTTTTACTTTCGACATTTTGACCGTCGGTATTTTTACTTTCGGTATTTTGCTTTCGATATTCTTACTTTCGACATTCTTACTTTCGTTATTTTCACCATTCGGTATTTTTCCTTTCGATATTGTTCCTTTCGACATTTGTTTCATTCGACTTTTTTCGACATTTTCATTTCGATATTTTTACTTTCGACATTTTCACTTTCGGCCAAAGTACAGAGAATCGAACACGTTCGAAAAAAGCGCCATCTACAGGCGAACGCGTTGTACGCCAGCAGATGAACACGTTCCGATCTACTTGTTCCGAACGCGTTCTGCCGTTTGGAACGGTCATTTGCAAATCGTTCGGAACGGTAGAACGCGTTCGGAACAAGTAGATCGGAACGTGTTCGTCTGCTGGTGTACAACGTGTTCGCCTGTAGATGGAGCTTTTTTCGAACGTGTTCGCCCGTTCCGAACGCGTTCTGTGACCGTTCGCCTCGACATGGGCGTATTAACTCCCAAATTCTATTGGTTGATCAGTAGCCAATAGAAATCAAGTGTTTATAGACAAGGTTTGCCATGGATAATTTTTATGTTCCGACATTCTAGAAGGACTCATCTGTCTCATTCACTTATTGAAGCAGAGATAACTCTCGGATTTAAATCCGAGGTTTCCACATTTATTTTCTTATAAATAATCTGTCCTTATAAACAATGTTGCCATAGTGAATAATGCATGATCTAATTAGCTTAATAATAATTATCATATTCTGTTTCATAATTATATTTTCAGTTCATTTCACTCTGAATCGAGTAACATGAACTAATTTTTTTTTCACCGAACCATACTTAATAATATCCATGATAATCTTCTATCTTTTTGTTTTTCTTATTATCAATGGTAAAGCATGTCTTCTTTTTCAAGATGAATTTTTCAATTAAATCTTATTTCAATAAGTAAAGATCTGTGGAATTGTCGAGATTTGATAGTTAACATTGAGTTATCCTACGTGTGAATATATCCGATAATTGAATGTTTTCATTGTATTTTCTCGCTCTACCTATTATTGTCGATAGAGGGATGTCATCATGTCCGAAACTCAGCTATCGAGATTCTAATACATCGACATATCTGTAAATAGTGACGATTTTTAGTGAATTTGATATAACGAGATGGATACCAAAAAATGAATACCCATATGTCTAAAAAGCTGAGTGGCATCTTGGAATAGATCATATGCTCACCTCCCAAGAATTTCTGAAAGATTTCATAAAGGCACAGTGTACAGGTACCCTCATAGCTGCGCGCAAAATCAGAGTCACTCCTTCAGTCTGGTGCGCAGATTTATCGATAGAAATAGGTTCACTCACACCCGTCCATGACATTGAAGAAACCGACTCCTCGCATCGAACTCTTCGCCTAGATTGAGACCGATATTCACATCGAGAAGCCAAACTCACACTGACACCCTTACCTATAACCATACCATTGTCAGTAAACACATGAACACAGTTACTAACAACTCTATCTTTACTCACAGACAGCTCAATATGTGACCTCCCTAGACTTAACCATATCGACACAATTACGAATAGGTAGACTGTCGTACATATCCAAACTGCTAGTGCGAAGTCAGAGTGGCGGTGTCACGCGCACGCATGAGCACACCTACACTGAACCGCAAAGTAACAATGGCCATCCACAATTTCAGTCAGGTTCGAATAGAAACAATCCGAAAAGTTAAATTGTATCGTTCAAAACTTTTCAAATATAGAACGATTCAATAAGTCAATAACTGCAGTATAGATATTTAACTGTTCCACTATTCAGTGATTGAACAGTTCAATAGTTCAAGTTATCTGTTCAGCTATTGAATAATCGAATATTTGAATTCAAGTTGCAGGTTTAACATGCACGTCCTCTCGCCGCACTCAAACTAGTTGCGGTGTCGTGTATGGGTGTCTTCTCGCATGTCCATCCTTTTCCGACACCCGCACCCCAAGTGCCGTGTGTGAGTCCGCTCGCGGCACTCACAAAAGGTGCGATGTCCTGCGTGTGTTGTCTCGTGTGCCACATGCTTCGACGGTAGCCACACATCCACTCCTACATCCATATCCAGATTTCGTTCTAAGATCATGACAAAAGATTAGAACTCTAATCAGTTGCATAACTTCGAAAGCTCCAAATGAGAATAATTGAAAAAGGTAAAATACACAAATGCCATAAGCTAAAGGCTACATAAATCAGTAACGGCATTGTGAGTTGTCAAAATTCAATCTTTTGAAAATAGAACCCTCGAGACGGCACCTAGAGCGATACAAAACAGAAAAGAAAGAGAATAGGAAACACTTCCAAAAGATTGATAAAAGTTTTGGGACAGCAGTATGTAAAATGGGTTATTGAATACATTTTCTTCTCGAAGATAAATATAATAAACTTCCGTGTTGCCATAGGATAAGATTCTCTGTAGATTGCAATAGACTTTATTTAGTATTCAATGCAATTAATAGTATTACAGAATGATGCAAAATTAGACAACATCACTAGTAGGAATGTACCGAGACTGAAGTTTGCCTAATAAAGGCATGAATTTTTCTCTTCGAACAACCCGAGACTCTATGAGATTTCTATTCAGAAATGGTCAGGTTAGCTTCATCTAGCTGCGCATGCAACCGGTCAAACCGGCGACGAAAGTAAATGGATAAGTCTCGGTAAAAATTTTTGTTTTTTCAATTTTTCGAGCGAGACTAACCGAAACTCACCCTTTTACTTTCGTTGCCGATCTGTCCAGTTGCATGCACAGATAGATGAAGCCAACCTGAGCACTTCTGAATAGAAGTCTCGTAGAGTTTCGGAAGTTGTTCGAAGAGAAAAATTCATGTCTTTGTTAGATAATGTTTAGTCTCGGTACATCTCTAATCACTGGTCACATAGTTGCTGCAAATTCACTAAAAATCCTCAACTTTTTAGATAAATGGGTATCTATTTTTCGAGTATTCATCTCGTTACATGAAATTCACTAAAAATCCTCACTTTTTAAAGATAGAGTATCCATTTTGGTTATCCAGTGCAGTCGATCGGATCGAAGAATGTCTGGATCCGAACCCAATCGATCAAGATTTTCGAGCCCGAACCTGATTGATTATTTTTTTGTGGGTTCGGACTTGAACTGTACTTTGACTTCTCTCAATGAAATATTCTAATCTGATATTGATTGTCGCTCCGAATATACAATATAGTTTTCATATTCTCTTTCTGTTAGATGACTAGGATACGTAGAGACTTCAATTCATAGCTACTTTCAATTTAACTCATGCCTAAACGAAATTGTCGGTTATTTATATATAAAATAAATATAAATATCTTGTTTTCATAATTTATATTGCTAAATATTAATCTTCTTCTTTTTTAATAATTTATATTTAAAAATAACCATAAATTATCATAGATAACATTTATTTTCAATATAAATAATGATTATTTGTTTTTAAATATAAATCATGAAAAATAAAATATTCATGTTTGTTTTAAATAGACATTATCGATAGTGCAGATTTATTCTAATTTTATAGGAAAATCATACCTCGAAGTATACTTTACATACTCTTTAAATGATCCAATTGTGATTCCATATAATACAATATATTCTATTCGAGAATCATTCTATTATCGTTAATACTTTGCTTTCTACTAAATCATATATAGATGATAAAATAGTATATGATCAATCTTTTTATAAACAGGAAGAAACTTGTTCACGTAGTAGAAAATTCCGACAAGTTAATCACATTTTATAAGTCAAAAACAAAAATTTCATCTTTTTTTTATAAATAAATTAATCTTTTTTTTGGAATAAAACGATCGAAAATTTAAAGAAATTCGTAAAATTTCTCTATATGCATCAAAAGTTGTTTTTTGATTCGGTTCCAATGAGGAAAAATTTTCAGGCCTGAACTCGGAGCCTGATCCAGTGAAAATATAATGTTCAGAGGCAGATCTGATGGAGTCTAGTATCCACTCTGACGAATATCTTAACTAGTATATAATAGATAGCCAATATTGGATATAAATGAGATCTCTCTATTAAAATTTCTTATATGAACTGTTTATCATCACCCTCATAGGATTTACTTTGCCATTTATCTTTATTAATAAAAAAATCTTAAGAATAATATATATAAAATAAAGAATGTTTGATCGTTTCTTTTAACCATTAATGAAGAAAAATAATTGACAAATGATTTAATTTGACTATTTACATTTAAAGTTCGAGAGAAAAAGGATAGAATTGCTAACCAATAACGACAGTAGTCCATCAAAAAAGAAAACAAATCACATTGAAGCTAAAAACGGGCGGATATGAGGATTTTTCGAGAAAAATAATGTGAAAAAATTGTCAAGAATTTTAAACAAGAAAAAATTGTCAAGAATTT